ATTTGACCCGAACATGTGCCACTTTTTCGCTCATCAATACACATACCTCCATTGTGAGCGAACTGTCTGCAGTGACGCACTGACACTGAACGAACTGTCTGCAATGGCTCACTGACACTGAGTGCACTGTCTGCAGTGACGCACTGACACTAAGCGCACTGTCTGCAGTGATACACTGACACTGACCGCACTGTCTTCAGTGATATACTGACACTAAGCGCACTGACTGCAGTGACACACTGACACTGCGTACCACTGGAGCGTTGAAGACACTGGAGCACCGACGTTTACTGATATACCAGACTTATCTACATCAATAAACGTCGGTGCTCCAGTGTTTTCAACGGTCCAGTGGTACGCAGTGCCAGTGTGGTCACTGCTCCAGTGCACTCAGTGTCAGTATGTCACTGAAGACAGTGCGGTCAGTGTGAGTGTATCACTGCAGACAGTGCGCTGAGTGTCAGTGCGTCACTACAGACAGTGCGCTCAGTGTCAGTGTGTCACTGCAGACAGTTCGCTCAGTGACAGTGTTTCACTGCAGTCAATGCGCTCAGCGTCAGTGTGTCACTGCAGACAGTTCGCTCAGTGACAGTGCGTCACTGAGGACAGTTCGTTCAGTGTCAGTGCGTCACTGCAGACAGTGCGCTCAGTGTCAGTGTATCACTGCCAGTAATTCACTGTTTTCACCGAAACTGCACATCCCTATCTAGGGCCCAATGAACCGACCATTGATGCCGATGAACGTTAGTTGTTCAATAAATTATGAAAAGTGAAAAATTTATATTTAAAATAAATATAAATTATCAGTGATTTATATTTATCATAAATATAAATTACTGATAATTTACATTTATTTGAAATTAAACGGTAATAACACCCCTAGTGGGTGCTGGAGTGTAGGTGTGAGTCTTCTCATCAGGACTACAGTGATAGCCATTCATCAACATTCTGGCTTGGAACTTTTTCTCGTCATCTTGACAGGATGCGGGTGGATGTTATCTCATGTCGCCACTTTTTTACGAACTGCGTCGCACTTACACGTAACTGGGCCGCATTGATCGCAATGAGAACATTCATCAGAAGCTACAGTTATTGCGACGCAGATAAGTACAATTGCGTCGCAGTAATCGTGTCGTACGATCTACTGCAATTGATACTGACCAATTATAATCCATTCTTCTTTATTTATAATTGGTCACACTCCAGCGCTAAAACTTAGCCACGTAGACATTGTATAAAAAGTCGTCTCGATAAGACTACGGCTCATAACTCATTCTACTACAAAAAGGAGAATAAATATTCCGAAAGAATTTTTCATTATTTTTTGTTTTTATGAGTAACTTTTTCATCTTTTTGTTTTTTTTTATTTTTGTAGATACTCAGTTTTTATTTTCAACTTTTTAGTTTTTTTTGAAAATCAAAAAATTTTTTGTGTATTCATGTTATTTTTCTAGATATTTATTCTTTTATTTTTTAACTGTTTAATTTTTTTAAAATTTGACATTAAAAGTTTTGTGTGTATCATTTGTCAATTTGAAAAACTTTCTTTTATTAGTAAATTTTTTTTAATTTTTAATTTTTTGTTTTTATGTTTTTATAAAAATTTCTAAGTTTTTTATTTTCCTAGATTTTTAATTTTTAATCTTTAATTTTTTTGTTTGGTGAGAGTTTCTTTAACATTCACAATAAAAAAATTAATAAAATGAAAATCTCATCTGTGATTCTTTTACAAACTGCGACGCAGTTACACCGTAACTGCGTTGCAGTTTGACCGCAGTCAAACACATGGGATTCTTCGCTGTTTCCACACTGACACCCACACTGCGTGATGGATGCAGGAAAGTAAATTCTATAGACCACTGACTGAAAAATAATTATCAATCAGCCAGATAAACGGGAGTCTGTCCTGGGTTTTGATTACATTTCTGTATCAATCCTTTGTAATTAATATTCAGGCTGTACGACCGGTATGTTCATAGTGCTTAGGATACTGGTATTAGATTTGGGAGCCATTGTAATGAATTACTCACCAGAACGAAATGGTTAAAACTAATTGTGCCGATGATATTTCAGTGGTAATAGTTTCCAACTTCGTTAAATGTTTTGTATGCAAGACGCGTCGCTTATTTGTCGAATGATTATTTACTTACTTATGCCGCATAGTCAGATTTTTTATTTCTTATCTTTGTTTTTCATATCTGCATACTTTTAAATTTCTTTGCAAATACATATTCCACTGATATAAGTTACAGATAACAGCAGTAAAACATTCAAGATGAGGAGCAGATGACGAGTGTCTGCCGAAAAAGAAAACAAATCATACTTGTTTGGCTATGGGTGTGGTGGGTGCGGATATCAGTGTAAGTGAGGGGTGTGAGTGTGAGGGGGTGTGGGTGTGGATGTGAGTGTGGGTGTGGGTGTGGGTGTGGGTGTGGGTGTGGGTGTGGGTGTGGGTGTGGGTGTGGGTGTGGGTGTGGGTGTGGGTGTGCGTGTGCGTGTGCGTGTGGGTGTGGGTGTCGGTGTGGATGAGTGTGGGTGTTGGTCTTCTCTCCACCCACACCCACACCCACACCCAACTGGGATGTCTCACAAGTTAGATGTAATTGTGTTATGAATTTGGCTAACAAACATGTCTCTTGTAACACAATTACATCTAACTTGTGAGACATCCCAGTTGGGTGTGGGTGTGGGTGTGGGTGGAGAGAAGACCAACACCCACACTCATCCACACCGACACCCACACCCACAC